CCAGGCAGTGGACTTTGGGCCTTTGGACCTTAATGGACCATCAAAAGTCATATGTTTGGGCTTAAGGTAAGGCCCATTAGAGGGATTGGGTCCAATGTAGCAAATTGGGCCATTAGTGGGCCACTAGTGGGCTTGGAAAGCATACCTAGTGTTGGGCTTTAGTATAAGGTCCATTAGAAAGATCCGGGCCCAATTTGGAAAATTGGGCCATTGATGGTTTTATGGACATTATAATGATGGGCTTTTGTTTTGGGTTTGAGCCTTAGTTTTGGATCATATTGGGACAGGGGTAAAATGGTCATTTTACCCCATGCATGGATTAAGGATTATGGTATGGGACCCAATTGCTAATTGGGTATATTGATTGGTAGTGACAGCTCGGGAAGCTGGCAGGGCAGCAGCTAAAGAATTCATGCGGGAAGATTTTGCAGTGTGAGGTGAGTTTTCTCACCATACCAATGGGTCTAAGGCACCAAGGCCGGCCCATTTTATGCTATGTGGTACACTAGCTGTAGTAGAAATATATGGTATGATAGTTAGCTTTATGCTAAGTGGTATGCTAGTGATTATATGATATGTGTTATGCTAGTTGTATTTGTGATACTTACATGGAAGACCCCGGGGGGAGCCCGTGGCATTGGATGTAAGACCATGTGGGGTAGCCCATGACATTCCTAGGTAAAGACCGTGTGGGGTAGCCCATGACATTGGATGTAAGACCATGTGGGGTAGCCCATGGCATTCCTAGGTAAAGACCATGTGGGGTAGCCCATGGCACCCTTGCAGGTTTATGTATGCATGGATTATGTGGTATGTGTAGCTTTGTAGCTAATATGATATGTGTTATGTGGATTGTGTGGGGTATGCTCTGGGAAACTCACTAAGCTTCGTGCTTACGGTTTACAATTTTTGTTTCAGGTATCATCGATTTGGAAATAAAGAGCTCGCATTGATCGCAGTGCACACACCTATGATTTCCGTAATCAATGATTTTGGGATGAACTCTGATAAATGTTTTACTTAATGATAATTGAAATGTTTGAAATAAATGGTATCAATGTTTTAGCTATATTAAAAATGAAATTTATACCCTTGATTTTTGGGTCGTTACAAAATACTTTGTCATGGCATTAGTGATTTCTCCTACTAAAGCTTCTTTTGAATTATGGCATAAAATACTTGGTCATGTTGCTTATGATATTATTTTTCTTCTTAATAAGCATGGATATTGGCATGTTAATTCTGTTTTACCAATTCCTAATCTCTGTTCTTCTTGTGAACTTTCAAAGCTAACATCATTTACCTTTTCAATTGAATGATAAAAGATCCTTACATGTTCTTGATATGGTTCATTGTGATTTATGGGGACCGGCACCCGTCACTTCTACTTATGGATATCACTACTATGATTTGTTTATTGATAAATACTCGTGATTATCTTGGTTTTACCTACTCAAAACCAAAAATGATTTCTATGATGTGTTAGAAAATTTTCTAACATTCACGCAAACACAGTTTGCTTGCAAACTAAAGGTTTTTCAAAGCGGGGGGGGGGGGGGGGGGGGGGGGACTGAATTTCTAAATAATTGAGTACGAAAATTGTTTCTTGATAATGGTACTCACCATTAAATGTCGTGTCCCTACACTCCACAGCAATACGAACAAGTAGAAAGAAAACATCATTTGTTAACTGAAACATGACTTGCAATGTTATTTGGTGCCAATGCTCGTACAACTTTTTGGATAGATGCCTTCTCTTCTGCAACTTATGTCATTAATCGCCTACCCACACAGTTATTACAAAAAAAAATCCCCATTGGAAATTATGTTTAATGTCACACCTAACTACACCAATTTTAAATCCTTTGGATGTTAGGGTTTTCCTTACATACGACCCTATACGGAGCACAAACTTGCACCACAAAGCATCAAATGCATAATTCTTGGTTACTGCACACAATACAAAGGGTATACATGCTTGGATCCTATAACTTCTCGAGTTTTCATTACACGACATGCAAAGTTTGTTGAAAGTTCTTTTCCATTATAAAGCAAGACAACTACCACAAATCTTCTCACCTTATTTTTGATTTCTTATTTAGATAATACACCACCTCTCTCAACCAACAAGATTACACCAGTACCCTTATCGACATCGTCCGCTCCTCAAACAACTACACCTTTATATCCTTGTTTACAAAAAGGTCATTCACCCACTCTAGCTCAAATAAACGATGCTCCCACACCTAATAACACCCCACCACCATCCTTAAATAACCACCACCATTTGTCGCCATATCCCAACTTATCTTTGTCAACGAACAGTCTGCCACACCCGTTGCCATCTCCTACTCGTGGTTAACCTTCCATACATCCTATGAATACTAGAGGAAAAATGGGCATTGTCAAACCTCGATATTTTTTGATCTTCTTGCTACTTCTCAAACACCGCTTCATGATGCATTATTTGTTGCCAAAGAGCCCAAGGGCTTCAAATTGGCAGCTAAACTTGATCATTGGTTTCATGCAATGACTAAGGAAATACAAGCACTTCACCAAAACAATACATGGACACTTGTACCACGCTCATCCAATGCAAATGTGGTCAGGTCTAAGTGGGTGTTCGGAGCCAAATACCACATCGATGGCACCATTTGATCGACACAAAGCACATCTTGTAGCGCAAGGTTTCACCCAAATTCCCTAGTTTGATTTTTCTCATACTTTTAACCATGTCATTAAAGAAACCACAGTTCACATTGTTCTTCTTTGGAAGTCACAAATCGGTAGAACCTTCATCAACTAGATGTCAAAAACGCACTATTGAATGGTCATCGTGAAATGGTATACATGGAACAACCTCCAGGCCATGATGATCCACATCATCCCAATCATGGGTGTCATCTCAACAAAGCTCTTTATGGTCTTCACCAAACCCGTCGAGCTTGGTTTCAACGTTTAAGTTCCTTTCTGGATATACAAGGATTTAAATATAGCCAAGCCTATTCGTTTCTCTTTGTCTTTCATCGTGGCACATGCCTTCTATATCTATGAGTATACGTAGATGACATTATTCTGACTGGAAATCATGAGCCCTCCATTACTCGTTTCATAAGTCTCTTAAAAAATGAATTTGCCATCAAGGATCTAGCCAAATTAAGTTATTTTCTTTGCCTTAAGGTCTCTTATACTTCTAATGGTTTATTTCTAAACCAAAGCAAGTATGCTCATGATATTATAAGTCGGACAGGTCTTCTTGATTCTAAACCTTTTAGAACGCCACTTGCTACAAATTATGTTTTCTCCACAAACGATACTCCTTTTCAAGACTCAAACCTGTACCGATCCTTTGTTTGAGCTCTTCAGTATTTGACCATCACCAGGTCGAATATCTCCTATGTTGTTAATCAAGTAAGTCATTTCCTCCACTCTCCAACAAATGAACACTTTATATTAGTAAAAAGGATCATGTGATACATTAAGGGCACTCTCAATCATGCTCTTCAATTTTTGTGTCCTACCAAATCTGTGCTCATTGGTTACTCAGATGCAGATTGGACGCTTTGTATTGAAACCAGACGTTCCACCTATGGCTACTCGATCTTCTTTGGTGGAAATCTCATGTCTTGGAGTGTGAAAAAACAACCTACCGTTTCCAGATTCGGTTGTGAATCTAAATATCGGGCTATGACGACACCGCTGCAGAGCTTATATGGATTTCTCATCTCTTATGTGACTTAAATTCTTTGCCAAGTTAACGCCCAACGTTACTTTGTGAAAACTTAAGTGCCATCTTCCTAAGTTAAAACTCGACATCACACAGGAGATCTGAACATATTGATATTGATCTCCACTTCGTTCGAGAACTTGTATTGTCAGTAAAACTGCATACATAATTTGTTCCTACCAACCTTCAGGACATTTTCACTAAACCATTACCCATACTGTTTTTGAACAGTTTCGAGATCAACTGAAAGTGCATCCACCACCCGTACGTTTGACAAGGTGGGTGGGTGGTGGTGCGCGGGGGGGGGGGGGGGGGGGGTGTTGAGCATTGGAGATAAATCCTATCCATAGTTAGCTTTATTTGATTACTTGAGTTATTTTCTAATTTACCTTGTATAGCTCCTATAATTGTGTTGTACTCTTGTATTTATATGTGATCATGAATCAATAATATTTAAGGGGAAAGATTTATCCTGCATTCACGTAGATTAAGGACGTATTCATGGATCAATGGCAAAACTAAACGAACTTCACATAATTATAACTATTAACTGAAGTGAAGTTATGAGGCGTGCAAATAACAAACAACCTTATATAGAAAGCTTGCAAACAAATGCCTTCATTTAAGAGTTTTAATATACCCGGTAGTAATCATAAAGAAAGTCACTATAAATGCACATTATATATATATATATATATATATATATATATATATATATATATATATATATATATATGTTGGGTTAATTGGATATATTTATATCTTTCATGCAAATGCAAGCAAAATTGTACTTAAGGGTAAGATAAACGTTATAACATGCCTATATCGAGTTGTACTTGAATATTTAAAAGCCATGGAATAATATCACCCTCTTTAAGTTTTAATCAAGCTATTTTTCCAACAATTTGGATTTCTTTAAACTAGATTCTCTCTCTCTCTCTCTCTCTCTCTCTCTCTCTCTCTCTCTCTCTCTCTCTCTCTCTCTCAACCCTTTTTATTCTTCCTTGACTTGTACATTCTGCATAAAATTAAACTTTAGAGATTGACTTATAATGAATAATATACAACTTCAAGTTGCATAATTTTATAAGATTTTTATTTTTTAAATAGAAACATTAATCATGCTAACCAGGTTGCCCTTGTCTTGAGGTTAAAGCTATAAGAATTCACAAGTTAGAAAGTTGACATATAGAAGAAATGAATGAAGTCCACCTCTCCGACCTAAAGAACATGCTATAAATAGAGCATTATCAGAAGAATTATTTATATGACAAAGTAACAAACCCTAAAAACACCATAAAAATGGCAAGCAATAGAAGTTTATTTTTTATCATTTTTGCAACGATTGTTGTTTTGGGTGCAATTACTCGGGTGAAAGCTTATACATCCAATTATTGTGGGCCATGGTCCCGTTGCCCAGGGAAATATATCGAATGCCCTTCTGAATGCCCTGAAAGCCACTCTTACATCCCTCGCGCTAGAGTTTGTCGCATTGACTGTGAGGACCCTAAATGTCAGTCTATATGCGTACGGAGTAAGAATATCTTCATTTTCGTTAAGCATTTTCGTTATACTTTTAAGAAAAAAAAAAAAAGACAAATATAGCTATTTTTGTTAAGCATTTCTCCGTAATTAGCCATTATTTAAGAAAAATCCACTCGAAACCACTTATTTCGTAGGGGAACTATGAAATGGTTTTTGGCAGCAAATTGGGCCCACCAGTTATTTTCCCATTTTTTCTCATTTTTACACCACATTATTTATAAAATCTCTCTCAAACTAATACTCCGTTATAGCATTGTAAAGCTCTCTTTTTCTATAAGAAAAGTCTTTCAAATCCCAGCTACAAACAGAAAATCAAAAATATGTTTTCTTGAAACATAGAGATGATTCTATAGAGAATATGTCAGTAATTTTGCAAAATACATGACCATTTATGTGATTTTATGAAGCAAAGGGACCAGTCAGTAATTTTGCAAAATACATGACCATGTTTGTGATTTTATTAAGCAAAGGGACCATTTATGTAAGTTTGGTATTACAAAGGAACCGTTTTTATAACTTTCTATTAACACAGGACCAGTAAATAAAAATTTAGGGACCTTTTCTGTAAGATTTAAATTATAAGGACCATTATTGTAAAAGATAATTTTAAATAAGGACCGCTTATGTAATTGAAATGTTTCCCCTCACCCCAATGTAGAATATACACCGGACTGTGGTGGCCCAGGATCGGCATGCGGCGACCCACGATTTATCGGAGGAGACAACATCGTGTTCTACTTTCACGGCAAGGTTAACGAGCATTTCAGTTTGGTCTCCGATTCTAACCTTCAAATCAACGGACGATTCATCGGACACCAACCCACCGGTAGATCCAGGCCCTTCACCTGGATCCAAGCCTTGGGTCTCCTCTTCAATTCCCATAGTTTCTCCCTAGAAGCTATTAAATCCGCCACCTGGGACGGCGGAATCGACCACCTGAAATTCTCCTACGATGGAGAAGATGTTTCGTTAGCTCTTGGTGGTTTTTCGTCATGGAAGTCGCCGGAGGGTGAAATCGAAGTGGAGAGGACTTCTGTCGTGAACAGTGTGATTGTTACCATACCTGGAGTGGTGGAGATTTTGGCGAATGTGGTGCCGATAACGGCGGAAGACGACAGAATCCATGGCTACAAAGCGCCTTCTGATGACTGCTTTGCTCACTTGGAAGTTCAATTTAAGTTTAGCAGACTTTCCGACGGAGTGGAAGGGGTGTTGGGTAGGACATATCAGCCGGATTTCAAGAATCCGGCGAAGCCAGGGGTGGCTATGGCGGTTGTAGGAGGAGAGAACAAGTATAGAACCACCTCTTTGTTGTCGTCCGATTGCGCAGAGTGCATCTATGATTCGAGAAATGAGAAGCAGATGATCAACGAGCACGGAACATTAGATTGTTCTACCAAGGGATTGTTCCATGGAAATGGAATTGTTTGCAAGAAATGAGGGGTGACGATCTTCAAAGAATTATAATGATCATATATTCTAGAAATAAATTCACTATAAAATGATTAATATATAAGATATAATGTTTAATATCTCAATGGAAAAATGTAATGCAATGTTTCGTCTTATTTGAACTGCTCAAATTATATTTTAATTTTAATAAAGTTTAAAAGTTAAATTTCTATCGCATGCAATTTTGGCTCGGTTTATCACTTTATTGGTTTCATGGTAGCATATCTAGTTTTTACACTACTATGCAGTAAAGTTCTTCCACTGTTTTCTATGTCTTGTCTTGCAAAGTGTACACCGTTTTGATATCGGTCTACTTACGATTTAGAATGTGTTTGGTTCCGATCTTGATTCTTGACCATGAACTAAATAAGACACCATGTTTTTTCTAATTTACAACATAAATATGTGATGATCCCGTTTCATAATTATAAAACAATCTTCTAAAAGAAAATAGTTTCGTTGTGGTACAATGATTCAAAAGGGTAATATATTTTTGATTTGTATACATTTGGTCACTGAGTTTTTTTTCATACATATTTACTCTTCAACTTGTTAAACTGTACACATTCCGTCTTTATGACCGGTTACTAAGGTTAGCCAAGAAAAATGACTTAATACAGTAATATATTTTTCTCACTTTGTATACATTTAGTCTTTGATATTTTTTTTGCACATTTAGTCCTTAATATTTTGTTGCAAAATAAGTCATTTTTGTTTTTGTACCTATTCAGTACTTATAACTGATTTCTTTAGGTTTTTTTCACGACATCTTACATGTGACAATCATTAATGAGGTGTTTTGGGTTGTTGATGTTTATGTCCATCGCGATCTCGACTACTTGATTGCTTAGGTTTTGTGGTTTGACTTAGGTCTTGTGTTCTGAACGTCATAACTTCTTCATATGATATCGGATTTTAACAGTCTTTAGATACACGTGTTCGTTTTTTGAATCTACTACAACTTTCGTTTAGATTACTCTCGTTAAAAGTTAATATATTTTTACTTACAATCTTTATATCCATACGTTTTTTATGAATGTATATATGAATGTTTTTCTTATAAAAATCCAAATTAAATATATTATATTTTTACCGGAGTAATCTTAACGAAAGTTGTAGTAGACTCAAAAAACAAACACGTAGATATAAAGATCGTTAAAATATGATATCATCGTTAAAATCCGATATCGTATGAAGAAGTTACAATGTCTTAAACACAAGACCTAAGCTAAATCACAAGACCTAAGCAACCAAACAGTCGAGATTGTGATGGACATAAGCATCAACAGCCCAAACACTTCATTAAAGATTGTCTCACGTAAGATGTCAGCCCCAAACACCTCATTAATGGTTGTCTCACGTAAGATGTCGTGATAAAACCTAAGGAAATCAGTCATGAGTATTGAATGAGTACAAAAACAAAAAAAAAACTTATTTTGCAACAAAAAAATATCAAGGACTAAATGTGGAAAAAAATATATCAAAGACTAAATGTATACAAAGTGATAAATATATTACCCTATGAAGTCATTTTTCCCGGCTAACCTGGAGTAGCTGATCATAAGGACTGAATGTGTACGGTTTAACAAGTTGATTGGGTAAATGTAGACGAAAAAAACTTGGTGACCAAATATGTACAAATCGAAAAATATATTACCTTTTTAAGTCATTTCCTCTTCTTTTAATCAGACCAAAATGAATCGAGGACATGTGCTTTAAAATTCCTGTGTATACAAATGATACTGATAAGGTCTTGGTTTAGTATGTTTCATTATATTGATATGATATAGCTTTTACACACACATAATTCATTACTAATCTTAATTATAAGTTTTAGTTATTGTTTAGAAAGAGTAAGGTCACGTTTGATAGACATCTTTCCAGGTCCAAACAGATCTTTCTAGCTGAATGGACCGAAAATATTGTTTGATATGCACAAAAAAAAATAGGTCTTTCCCGGTAAGATATGTCTTTCCCAGAAAGCTCCAAAACCATATATTTCTGGCTGAAAATGGTGGAAAGACAATTATGCCCCAAACCCCACATCTTTCTTTCTTGGATTATTAATTTCTTCTAAATAATTGTTTTAATTTCTTTTGTATTGAATTATTATTTTATTGGATTATTAACTTATTTTAGTTAATTTTTATTGGATTAATTTTTTTTTTTGGACAACACCACCATCATCCTAATATATTTTAAAAAAATTCATTCATCCCACCATTATCGGACATAAACCGGGTCAAGAATCACACGTTGGGTTATAAAAAAAAACAAAAATTGCTAGAAACACAATAAACTAAAAACAACTTAATCGACATTCTATTTGGATTTTTAAATAATTATTGTATAATTTTGATCAATCACAGTATAGAACAGCAGATTAATATTGTCATTTTTCATCATTCACACAGTCAATCAGATGTATAATCAAACAACATGGTTTCTCTCCCAATCCGAAAACTTTCCATACAGCACTTTTCCAGACAAAATTTTCCCGGACAGAAACTATCAACCGGGACCTAAGTTTTAGTTATTTTTCATAATAAAGATGGTTGGAATTATAAAAGATTTTTACAAAAGAAATTATATTTATGACAAAATAAAATAAAATAAAATAAAAATGTCATTTTTAGATAAAAGTTAGAAGTTATGTTGTAATCGAGCTACACTAAATTATTGTTTTGTCAATTTAAGTTTTTGGAGCCAAGGGAGTTTATATTGAAGTATCATTCGAGATACATTGTAACTAGTCCCAAAATAGGATGTATTTCTGATTATTCCAAATATGGAAGTACTTATATTAATACAAAAATGGAGATGTACTTACATTGGTCCCAAAAAAGCATGTTCGCATAGTTGGCTTTGCACGGTGATGTGATCTTATTAATTCTTGAAAGATTGATTGCATACGAGTGAGGGATGTCAAAAACCCTGCGGGACCCCGTTCCCGTGAGACCCCGATACCGTACGGGACTAATATTTTTAAAAAAATCAGGAGCAGGAGCGGGGGTGGGGGCGATATTAACTTCCGTTTATTTTCGGGACCGGGGGCAGGAATGAGTATTTCCGTCTCGTACTCCCACGGGGGCCCTGTTTATATTTATATAAAAAATATATATTTAATGTAAAATACAAATCAGAAATTAGGGCTTTAGCTTTCCGTGTTCCGTCGATTCTCACTTCTCAGTTCGTCTTCACTCTTCAGCCTTCACAATACGAATAACGAGTTGACGACTTCGAGTCTTCTCTTCGACTGGGCTTCCGACTTCAGCTTCCTTCCCGTAGGACCTGTACTCCGATTGCGACTTCTCAACGTCTCCAACTCCCACCGGCGACAGGCGACCTGCATTTGACGTTTCCCGTCACCGCCGCCGACGCCCTTCTGCATTCGACAGTAATGTATTCAGAACTCCGACTGCGACTTCTCCAAGTCTTAATTTCTTTCTTTACTTCTCTGATACAGCTGACAATTGAGAGCGTTCTTCGGTCTTCACAGTTCACAATCGATTCTACCACTTGGCTGAGTTGGCTCACGATTTGTGTTTCTGACCGATTTCTCAAACATAAGTGTGAATTAAGGTTTATTCAGTGTTGTTGATTTCGATTTCTCAAACATTAGTGTGAATTAAGGTTTATTCAGTGAACAGATTTCGATTTATATGAGGTCGTTGTGTATAGATTTCTCACAGACTCACAGTTTTCTTTTGGAAATTCCTAGTGTATCTTTTTGGAAATTCCTAGTGTACAGATTTTGATTTATATGAGGTGTTTGTGCCAGAAAGAACTGAGATGCATACATTATATCTGCTGCCTGCTGCTATCAATTTCACAAACTAGAAGTCTAGAACTGTAATAGAAGTTTTGGAACTTGATTATGTGAATATAGTCAACTGTGTTTATCAAGGGCTTACATGTTTGTTTATATACATATGTTGGACTTGTATAAACTATTTGTAGATCTAAATCAAACTATTTGCGGATCAATTCTTGATTTTTAATTTTATAATTTTCATCATTTCAATCATACATGTATTTTAAGCTTTTAAAGTTATTAAAAATAGTATTTTTGCCAAAAACAAAGCAGTTTTTTAGCAAAAAAAAAATAATCCAATTTTAAGCCTATAAACCGGGGGAACCGGGGGAACCGGGGGAACAGGGGCGGGACCAAGGGCGATGGAGGTAACCGGGGGCGGGACCGGGGGTTGTGTAAACGGGGGAACCGGGGGCGAGGGCGGGGGCGGGGGCAGCTATTTCCGCTCCCGTTTGCCCCCGTTGACATCCTTACATACGACTTCTGGGACAGTCACAGAGAGCTACTTAGAGTGCGTTTGGTTTGCTGACAGTCACAGAGAGCTACTACAGTGTGTTTTGTTTGCTGTAATGGAATAAAATTCAGAGAGAAAGAAATCCAAATTTACCACATTTTAGTGTTTGGTTCAACTTTGTATGATTGAATCGAAATCTTAAATGAAAAAACTTTCAATCAAATATGGGAAAACATTTTCCTTCCAGAAAATGATGAAATTAATTTCCTACTATGAAGAAATTTTCATTTTACCTTATTAATCTTGTTTTATTTCACAACATAACATCTACCATTATCACCCACCACCACCACTACCACATTCACCACCACCACCACCACCACAACCTACCACCACCGCCACCACCACAACCTACCACCACCGTCACTGCTACCCGTCGCCACCACTTATCGCCACAACCACCACCACCACCACGTACCCCCGCTACTTCCACCATCACCACTACCACCCACCACCGCCACCTACCAACGCTACCACCAGTGCCACCACCACCTACCTACCGCCACCGCTATCACTACTGCCACCACCACCTACCGCCACCGCTACCACTACTGCCACCACCACCACCTACCGTCATTGTCACTGTCACCACCACCTACCATCATCGACACCACCGCCCACCACCCGTCATCACCACCACCACCGCCACTACCACCCACCACCACCTACCACCGTCACTGACATGAATGCTCAATTAAAAAAAATAAAATTTACTATTTTTATAGTTTATATAATATAGTTTTATATGTAAGATAGAAAACAAAGTAAAATTGA